TCATCTCCGTCGCAATACAGAAAATATTGGTACCGAGGGAACAATCTCAGTAGCAATACAGAGGATAACACGATAAAAATGTTATTGAATGATTTGAAGTGCAATGCAGGATATATTCTGTCTCGATATTCTGTATTAGCACTTGACTTCGTCTCCTTCCAATACTGAATTTCTCAAGCAGAATATATCCTTTATTGCACTTCAAATCATTCAATAACTTACATCATCGTATGATCTGTAAAATGAAGCCCTCTGATTGGTCAGTTCTTGTGCTGTACCTATCTGTATTGCTACTGAGATTGTCCCCATTGATCATCTCCGTCGCAATACATAAAAAATATTGGTAACAAAGGGACAATCTCAGTAGCAATACAGAGGACCACACGATAAAAACGTTTTTGAATGATTTGAAGTGCAATACAGGATATATTCTGTCTCGATATCCTGTATTGGCACTCAACTCCGTCTCTTGCCAAAACAGAATTTCTCGAGCAGAATATCTACTGTATTGGACTTCAAATCATTCAATAACTTATAATATTATCATTTCATTATATCGTGCCATCAAAAGAAATGGTACATTTTAGAGTGTGATACTCTGGTGCCGTTTTCAATAGATCTTACTCTTAGTATTATTGGACTTCAAAGAGAAGTGAAGGATATCCGCAAATAATATACCCATTGCATGGGATAGGTTATTTTCTTTGGTATGACAAAATATTTGAGTTAAAAAATAATTTGTGAAGTTTTCTAAATGTTTTTTTAATGAAAAATAGCATGCTCCCCTAAGCTGGACAAAACTTTGACCACCTGTGACTAACCATGCCAACCATATTTCATGACTACCAGCCTGATATAGTCACAATGTTACATGACTTTAAATATCAAGTAGTTATTTCCTAAAATGACACCCTGTACAGCAATATTACTTAATATTATTATATTACTTAAATAATATTATAGTTTTCTTTTGTTTAATTCCAGGTGATGTTTGAGACCAAAAAAACGGCGAGCGGTTTATGTTGGCTATTTCCAAAGCAACAACATGTATGCATGTCAATACAAGGATTGCCATTGCGCATGTTCATTTGTTGCACAATATAACACAGAAAAAGCAAGCAAGATCAAAGATCATTAATTGAGCCATTAGAGCCAAATACGACACCAATCTTGAAAAAGAAGCTTTAGCTTTAAGATGAAATTGGGGAAGATAGCATCTCTCTATATAGGAATGAACACTCTCACTGTTGAGTCAAAGCCAGTGATATGGTGGGATCAATTTATGTGGCAAACGTCAAAGCCATTGTAAATTCCTTGAAGATGAATCTGACAAAATGCGAAGATAGACTTGATGAATATGACCCTAATTTACTTCAGAATTTTTTTAGAAATCGTTAAATTAGAACTTGGGCTAGTATAATGATGAAGCTAATAGATTATAATGTATTATGAAAGAACTAGAGTATTACTCATATTTACATGCCTAACCATCGACAATGTACAGTGACAAAATATACCGTTGCACACTTTATATTGTACAGTGTCACTAAAAACTGATGATGCAGGTGTGATGTAGGTTTTCAAAAATTAATTTTGGGAATACTTGAAAGATTTCAATTTCATCTTTAATTTTGTATGCATTCGACTTTTAGCTTTCTGATTACATTAAAAGATTTAAAAGCAATGCTTGATTTTTTCATAGTTAGTCTACCAACAAAAATTGATCGGTTGGAAAATGTTGGGGTTTTCACATTTCCTTTGATCATTTTTTCTCCTGTCGCCTAAGAGTGTCATTTATTTTTATGAGAATATGTTTCTCTAAACTACACAATTTAAGATGAGTGAAGATTTGATAAATATTATGTATTGGGTGTAATTTTAAAAAATCAGAAGAGTAGTTGTCAACTCCACTGAAGGGTGTCAGTGTAAATGAAATTCACGAGATGTTATATTGAACAATGCAATAATTAAACAAGTTATGTTTAAGGAACATGTTCAATTATCCCCAATACAGATGTTCTAAAGTTAAGGTAAATTTGATTTTTAAATCTTGTTGAATGTCATTTCATTTTATAAAAGTGTTGGTGTGGTGATTAATATGTGACCATGGGGTGTTAGCCTCTTACCCCTTGATCACTTGACATCTGTACTTTAACGTAATAAGAAACACTTTTATGAATTTTAATTATCTTAAGAAGTTGATAGAGAGATTTATACTAGCTAGTTGAAGATGACTTTTTAAAATCCTCTTTATGCAATATCTGGAAAGTGTTGAGGTTCAATACTATGGTTCAATCAAGTTTAAGTAATACTGTGATTGTTAAGTTTCAGTTTTAAATTAATCTGATCCCCCTGCCCATTAGTGTTATTAAAAATATGTTGTCAGGGTTAACTGTGAATTCAGATATGTAAGTTCGTTGGGACAACGTACATCAAGATGACAAGGCACATTTGTATTTTTTTGATTTTTATTATTTTAACCAAAACATGAATATTTATTAAATTTTCAACCGACCTTAATTGTGTAACTTAGGGAAACATATTCTCATAAAAATAATTGACACTCTTAGGCGACAGGGGGAAAAATGATCAAAGTAAATGTGAAAAACCCAACATTTTCCAACCGATCATTGTTTGTGGTTAGATTTACTATGAAAAAAATCGAGCACTGCTCGAATATCTTTTAACATAATCAGAAAGCTAATGGTTTTCCTAATCGAATACACACAAAATTAAACATGAAATTTTTTATGCATTCCTCAGATTAATTTTTAAAACCTACATCACACCTACATCATATCTTTTGCTTCATATCAGTTAGAATAGTGACACTGCACATCAAAAGTGTACGGGGGTATATTTTGTCACTGTACGTTGTCGATGATCAGGTGTGATTTAGAATAAAAAAGTTAAAATGATAAATCTTCTGCCTGCTGTACCATCAGTTACAGTATCTTCTAATGAAGTATTTTCTGTAATGCTAAAGATTACTTGATCTGTACGTGATGAACTACTTTTTAAAAATATCTTGTCATAAAATGTAAAATTGTACTTATATAGAATTGCAATTAACACATTATATAAGACATGTTAATTGCAATCCAATGAAAATTTCTGTTGCCAAACTTATGAATGGAAGCGAAATTGCTTTTAACACACAAATGTTGACTTAATGAATTTGAATTCAAACATCAATTTCGATTAAAAAACAGAAGTGAAAACAATAATTTCTGAATCCTTACCTGTAATGTCAGTTTACTAGAATGTCTGAATTCAGGCACCTTATTTCAGTTTTATAGATTGTTGTCTGAATTCAGGCACCTCATCCAAGCTTAGCAAGTTGTCTGAATTCAGACACTATATTTCAATTTTATAGATTGTTGTCTGAATTCAGGCACCTCATCCAAGCTTAGCAAAGTGTCTGAATTCAGACACCTTATTTCAGTTTTATAGATTGTTGTCTGAATTCAGGCACCTCATCCAAGCTTAGCAAAGTGTCTGAATTCAGACACCATATTTCAGTTTTATGGAATGTTGTCTGAATTCAGGCACCTCATCCAAGCTTAGCGAGTTGTCTGAATTCAGACACCTTATTTCAGTTTTATAGGACGTTGTCTGAATTCAGGCACCTCATCCAAGCTTAGCAAAGTGTCTGAATTCAGACACCTTATTTTAGTTTAAGAGAATCTTGTCTGAATTCATGCACCAAAATCTCAGATATAAGTCTTTTTTTAAATTAAAAATGTGTGGGCATGTCTGAATTCAGACACATATTTTCCCATACTAAGAGTTGCATAGAGTAAAACATCTGCCTGAATTCAGATACTTCATATATCTACACAAAAAGCTTGTAAATATGTTGCTGATGTCTGTACATAACATAGATATACAGTACCTAGAAATATATATCTTTATTTTTATACTTTGCTGGTTGTTTATAATCTTTTCTCATACAAAAAACTTCTCCAACGCCTAAAGAATACATTAATTGTCAAATATATTTCTTAATTTATATTAATAATTCAAACTTTTGTCACCTATGGAATTGCCAAACTACACTGGAACCTGTTATAATGTTTCTCTTTTTTTTACTGTACATTCTTATTATCATATTTGGTATTATTTCTTTACCTTAATACACATGCATATAATGAAATTGAACTGTATGCCTCATTCGTGGGATATCAATTGATTTCATCAACAAACTTCTCACTAATTAGATTGTTCAATTCAAGAGCCTTCCAGTGATCTGATTGGCCCTCTTTTAGCATCTAAATCATCAATTACTGTTATATATGCCAAAATTCATTGAATATAAAAATTATATTTTACAATTCAAATTACATGGAATTATCATATCAGATATAATATGTTTAGCTGAAAATGATTAGGTCCATAGAAAAAAGATGGCAGTAGTGAAGATATATACTTGTCTCTCTAATGGCAGTAAACATAGTTCAAATGAAAAAATTAATATCAAGCTATTGACATCACTGCCACCTTTTATTCTTTTTTAACGTATACATGTACATAAAAACAACTTCTGAGACTTGACAATTTGCATTAAATGTCACTCAATTTTGAAACATCTGATTGGATTCGGAGGCGAAGTATCGTGAGTTGTGTGGATGTAACCGAGCAATGGCCTTAATTTACATGCTTTTCAAGGTCTTGTCTCGTTATTTTCGTGAAATACTTTTTCCTTTGGTGGATACTACAATCTGCATGAAACACTAGTTGACCTTTTGGGCCTTAACTCTTTATTATTCTTTGCTGCAACATTTGAAATTCAATTTATCCAAAAACACATATAGATCTTATCAAATGAATCAATGATACAATCTTTATTCAGAAATGCTGAGGTTTTCAAATTGAAAGTATAATTTTCAGATAAGTGAAAAAATTAAGTCTTTTAATTCAAAAATAAAACCTTAAAAAGCCATTAACAGGAATGATATTGATGTGTTAACCAATTTAAATTTTCTTTGTTTCTTTATTAGGTCTGAAGATTATGGCAACAGCTTTGAGAAAGTGACATTTCAACACACAAATGTCCTCATCAACTTCTTCTATGCCTGTCCCTTAAACAAAGACAAGGTAGATATTTCCTTTTTATATTCTCAATGTTGCTCTATTAAACTTGCCAATAACAGTAAAGAAAAGTACCGCAAAATCACCTCTTGGCAGAAGGCCTTATTTTCTGTGCACCAATATTTTCAGGTCTTGAAGTAGAGATTATGTGAATAAAGTCATTGATATAAATGAAAAAGAATATTCAATTAGCTCTGTGCTTCTTACATACTGGTACTTTTTTGCCCTATGAACTATGTGATTTAGAGTTGATGACATCGTCACATCAAATCCAGTGTGAAATATAAAAGATGGCATCCCACATTAAACGAGCGCTGCATTTTTAAATATCCCCAGGTGATACTAAAAGTTGAGTTTCTCTGAGGTCAAATCATAAATCCACATGTCCTCAAGCTGATCAAATTTGCATGTCAATAGGGTTTGAAAGAAATTGATATTTTTGTCAGTTTTTTCCCTGTTTTGAAAAAGTATTCTAGCCAGATACTACTAACGCCATCTATTCATGACCTTTTCATGTACATGTATCTATCTATGTACCGATTCATTTGTAGCTGTTTTTTATTTCAGATTATTTTGACTGATACAAAAAACAAAGTGATATATAGGAGCACAAATGAGGGAAAGAATTTCACCTATCACCCAATAGGCTTTAGTCCTGATAAAATCATATTCAATCCTTCGGTTGAGAATTTGGTCCTGGCCTACACATATTCCAATAGAACTGTAAGTACCTAGTCTTCTTTTTCCGTGGGTTTTCAAAAATCATCACTTCTGCACTTATCTCAAATTTTGTCTGCAAGTGCAGTCTTGTCTACCCTTTGCATTCGTTTGACTTCACTTCTTAAAAGAGAGCTTCGTCTCCACTCTTTCAAACTAAAATAAACCTGTGAACTCACCGCGCCAATCAGTGTTCGTCGACCAAATTTGACCGACGTTATATATATGGTCATTCCTACTGACGTCATCGTTGAGCCCGGAATTGACCAATGGCATGCGCATATTTAATTAGAACGCATTTGGCGTATGTTTCTTCAAGCTCGCTGAATGGTGGAAGAAATGCCAGTGCATATGTCAGAAGTGATTTATTACCCAAACTGTCATCGGTACCCGTCGTGGGGGCGGGGCTACTAAACTGTAATATGGTCTCTAATAGGCAGAGTGTAGTTTAACTAGACTCTGCACGCAGGGTAAGTCTTGTCACCACATTATGGTATGAAATCTGAAACTGTTTTGGGACATACTAAATATCGAAAAGGCCATATTGGACTTTTCTTCAGCAAGCAAACTGTGGTATGAATTTTTACAACTGATCTTAGAACAGTTAAAAATACAGAATTGGCATGATATTAACCTGAATGCAGAGTTTAGTTCTTAACTTGCGTGGTAACCTCTGAATAGTTTAGACAATTTTATAGTTCAGCTCCCCCCCTCCCTCACTGCTAGTGGTTGTAACACCCCAGGTCATCAATTCAATCTCATTGCATGCATCTCAACTGTTCAGTGAGCATTTAGTCAACAATGATGATGAAATGACCATATTTAGAAAATGGTCGTTTTGTCAACAATTAGATCTGGATAGCTGAGCCAGATTAGATGTTTTTCTTAGCCTAAACTTAAAGGGCATACATACCTGCCATCCTAAGACCAAAAGCATGGATTTAAATCCACAAGCAACAAGTACACCTCATTTGAATGAAAAATCAACTCAGGTTAAAACATTTCCTAGTCAAGAAATCGAGGGACCGTATCAAATAGCACAGAGACGTTTGGTGGAGAACATGACACATTCAACAAATATGAACACACAACAGAGCAGCAGTGATCATTTGGAAACCCTAGATAGTCCCTTAGAAGTAACAAGCAGTAAACCAGGATTCGAACCATTATCCCAAACAGTTAACATCAATAACATGGACAAACCTTTACATGGAATTATATGCTGCAATATCAATGATCAGGAATCACAAACAGAGACAGGAGGGATAAACAGTAGTAGTGAGCAGAGAGATAAAGCAGTTCAGTGTACCCCTTACATGAGAACTGTCGAAACACAAAGAACGTTATCAGCAAAATCAAAATCAACAGACACCATCCAACTCATGAAATTGAATCACAGAAATGTACAAACTGGGGTAACTGAGGATGATTTGTCTGACGAGGAAGAAACTACAACAGAGGACTTTAATGAGATGTGCCAAGCCGCTTTAGAAAGATCACTCCTAAAATTTGACAGCATGTTTAAGCTTGAGACCAAGAATATCGTTCTAAACAATTAATCGCTCTTTTGGATCAAACAAACAGCATCTTCTTACTTACACAGTGAAACCGTGCCTAACACAAATAAAGGATATAAGGTTTTGACTTAAAAGGGGCTTGAATTAACGATACTCATATAGAATAGTTACATTCTTGAATAATAGTCAATGAACAGTTGTGCCATTAATATCTTAATATTCCTATCTTATCAGCAGGTAAGCAAAGGTGACATTTTATTTCTAGCATTTTGAAATATTGATGCCTTTAAAGTGTTACAAATTTGTTATTTCCAGATTCAACATTAAATACCAATTTGTTCGATTGATCTGTATATTATAGTCATGAATAAAACTGGAATAGAAAAAACAAAAAAACAACAACCTAAGACTAAAAATTTGCGGTAGCTTTTTTGAATTGGGGTATTTTTGCGGCAGATTTTTTCAAAATGGGGTAGTTTTTGCGGTATTTTTCGACAAAAATGCGGTAGTTTTATGGTAGATTTTGAAAAAATTTGGTAGTTTTTGTGGTCGATTTTTGAAAAAACTGTACTTTTTCGGAAGTTTGAAAATTGCGGTAGTTTTACGGTAGATTTTTAAAAAATGCGGTTGTTTTGTGGTAGATTTTTGAAAAACTGTAGTTTTGCGGAAGATTTTGTAAAATGTGGCAGTTTTCCAGTAGATTTTGGAAAAATATGATCGTTTTTTTGCGGTTGATTTTTGAAAAAACTGTAGTTTTGCGGCAGATTTTGAAAAATGCGGTAGTTTTTCGGTAGATTTTGAAAAAAAACAGAAGTTTTTGCGGTAGATTTTTGAAAAAAAACTGTAGTTTTGCGGAAGATTTTGAAAAATGTGGTAGTTTTACGGTAGATTAAAAAAATGCGGTAGTTTTTGCGGAACATTTTGAAAAAATACGGTAGTTTTTGCGGAACATTTTGAAAAATTGATTTTGCGTAAATTTTGAAACACTTCAACGAAATAATAAAGTATGCTTTTCTAACACAGCATTCATGGTCTCTTTCATTAACAGACTAACAATTTGGACACTTCAGTGTTTTTATAACTATAGTAGAACATGTGGTAGTTGAACACTGTGTTTTTGCATCACGATCCTCCCCAGTGTGTTGACTGATTACAAGTAAGTATGCAATAACCACTGTCACAGACCTGCCGAGACCTATTTATTTTCGGGCTGGTAATGGAATATTACAAGGGCAATGCGGGAAGACTTCAATTTTTCAGAATTTCCAAATAATAACGGTAGATTTTACGGTAGTTTGAACAAGAATACTGTTAATTTCAGCAGAAATACGGTAGACTTCCAAATACTTACGGTATATTTTACGGCCGTTCTTATAGAAAAAAATCATATAATAATAATATATTTTACTGTAGATTTCGGTAAAATTACGGTTGATTTTTTACGGGAAAAAATGGTAAAATTTTTACGGTAGTTTGTCATTTTTTACGGAAAAACAAAAATTTTACGGTAGATTCCCGTAAAAATACGGTAGGTTGGCAGGCATGGTATAGATGAAACTTTTGGGAAGCTAAGTCAAATGGATGCAAAGGGTACATAAAATTGCCAACTTAGCAACCCTTCTTATATTCTCTTCAAGGGAGCAATATTGTTAACCCTTTGTTCTGTTTAATTTCCCATTTAGATATGATATTACCTTACATTTGCTGGTCTATTATCTCTGGTAATAGTAACATATTGCAAACATATGAAATATTATAATAGTTGAAATTAATAGTTTGGTGTGACTTAATAGACTTCATTATATTCACTGCTGATTTCAATTATGTCCATTAACATTCATCTACATTGTTGTCTTGTGTGAGATTTTCATGTTCCAACAAAGTCTTCTTAAAACCCATTAGTCTAATACAATACATCTTCACTCTTTTGTATGGCTCATCCCGATCCCATACAAACAGTTATAAGGGTCTGCTGATAATCTCAACATGTACTGAAAATGAACCCTATTAAGGTCAATATAAGACAGGGTTTTTTATGTATATGTTGACTTTTACTGCTGATACCACTACCAGTAAAGGTGTAGCACTCAAGTGGCTGATTTATTGGTGTATGTATGTCTGTGAGACAGTAAATAGTAGTTTTATTTTAATTTAGAGGCACATTTCTCCCATATTGAAACTGTCAGAGTTTGAACCATTACTTATGCCTCTCATGGTGCACAGATTGGCAATTCTCATATCAACTTGAATCTGGCTAAAATTAACTGGATTCATTTATGATAAAATCATGTAGCATTATAGGTCATAGTATTATAGTATGGATCAATGTAAAATAGCAAAATTCACAAACAAGGCCATATTTATAGATTGCTTACTCATGTAGCCTGAAAGGACAAACCACAATGTACCTGTTCTTGAAAAGGTTTCAATAAAAAGTTTCGCAACCTTTTTCAGAATTATTTCAATTAATAATATTTTGGTGATGAATGATTGCAAAATAGCTCTATTTTACAAATCAATAAGAATTGTCTCTTCATCATAAAACATGATTCACTGTCACATTACAGATGAAATAAAGCTATGATTCACCTGTATATTTCCACACTGAAAATATGAAAATTATCATAATTAATTATTTATATGTAGCATTTAGCAGTAGACAAAACTAACTGTATAATGAAATTAAGTAGTCCAGTTTATTTTGGTCCAGTTCAGAACCTATTTTTTATTAAACCAGCCTGAGATAACATAAGTAAAAAGCTAACACCAATAAATAAGACATAAATAACCCTGGGAACATATAACCTTCCATTTGACATTAAGATTTAAAAGCCATATGTCCAAACGCTTAGTCTACTCTACTGATATTTTATGTACTGTAGATGAAAATGAATTTATAAATATTTTATTACTGTCCTCCAGGGGCTCAAAGTTCAAGTAAATGTTTATTGTTTACAAGAACCTCAGGTAAATGACGTACTGCAGGTTAAAGCCAATCAGCAGTCAGGCATTATCATGATTCATAGCAATTCTAGTAAAGTGGGAAGTTAGCACATACTCAACAGAAAAGCAATATTTCACCTGCTATTGTCAAGTTGATAGTAACATATAATTAGTGTCAGCGGAAAATTCTTGCGTTATTCACCAGTATATTTCTGTAGAGATACTGGTATATAAAAGAGCTAAAAATAACACACAGTACAGAGTTCTATTCAATACAATCAATAACCAGCCAGCCAGTAGTTGATATTAAAGCAGATAATTTATTCAACAGCATCACATCAACTTGAGATATAGACCAGCAGATATATATCATATTGAGGAAAATAAAAGAATTAGAAGCAGAGAAAATTTCCTCACAATGTCAGGATTTTTACAATGGATCGGTATAGGCCTTGTGTGTCTTACTATAGAGTATGGCATATGTACTGAAATTGATGGTGTATTGTATGAATCTTTACGCTTTATGGACAATACTGATGCCTGGGTTCCATGTGAATATACCTTAAACACTACTGGACTGCCTGACAATGTCACCGATGATACACTTGTCCGAATATATACACAGAAGATAGATGACACTTACGTTGATTTGGTAGCAAATGAGAAGTTCCACTTTAATGAAACTGGTTTGATGATAAATAACATCCAAATTGATGATGTCACTAAGTATGCGTGTGAAGTTAAACTGGGGAACGAAACCTTGAAGAAAATAGTCACATTTGTTAAGGTTGTTTTGGCAAAATGTAGCTTCAATGAAGACTTTTGTGACTTTGGGAATATTGGTTCAGCAAAATGGTTGAGACGTTCGACCCCTACGCCTACTAATAACACAGGACCCGATGAGAATGCTTTGAAACTTCACGTGGGTCTTGATGGTATGATAGATCCAAGGGGTTCATTCATTTATCTTGAGGCTGACAATGTTTCCAGCTCACAAGAGCTCATCCTCAGGACTCCTAACCTAACTCTAGAGGCAAGATGCATGGAAATACATATAGATTATTCATATTTTATGTATGGTGCTACTATGGGTTCCCTAGCATTATATGGTGTCATGGACAATGGAACAAAATATGAAATTAAAAAAGAAATAGGCGATCATCCCGCAAATTGGCACTCATTCGGTAAGAACTTTCTTCCTGGATCGGCACCTATGGCCTTTGAATTTATTGCCAAACGTGGCCCTGGAGTAGAATCAGATGTTGTGTTGGACGATGTTTCCATAACAGTTATAGACGAGTTGAAAAGTAACAGAGAATGTGATCTTATGAAGGAGGAAATGACAACAACAGATCCCAATGGAAACAACACAGGAGGTGCATCAATCCCAGCAATTTTTAGTATAACATTATCTTTGATAGCTACCATAGCAATCACTTTGAATTGGTAAAATGGCATCTTTAAAGTTTCACACTAAATTCTACATTTAGTTCATTACATATTTTTACATTATTTGACCAATCACTCTTTTTAAGAAACGAGACTTTTTGAGTCTAAATGTTTTAATAAAACAGGTTTCCAAAACAAAACTCGTTGCCTCCTAAATATCAAGTACCTACTGACTAAACAAAATTGCTGAAAATGTAGAATTTTGTGTGAAATGTAAGATGACACTGAAAGCTAAATTTAGACACTTATTTGCAAATAACATGTTTGCGATATACATAATTTTACTTCTGAATATACAAGCACTAACTTTCAATACTGAACCTTGTGTATGTTAGCAAGAGAAAAGGATGAATATTAATGGATACTTTCCCTCTGATTATTCACACATAAAGGTTTGTGAAATTAAAAAAATTGTATTTAGTTACTGTATAGTATCTACCAACGAATGTAAAATCTCAATTTGAGAGCTTCTGTTGATAAAACATCACTGTACTCAGACTGAAAAATTCCTCTTACTTTATAAATTGTGGAATTTGCAGAAATGAAATAAATAGGTGATTAAACTGTAAAAGGATACTATACATGTATTATACAAAAAAATAAAACAGTGTAATATGATAGAGAAATAGTGATAGTTACATAAGTACATTACTTCAGACTTCTGAGCATAATTATTGACTTTTTTCCTAGAAAGAAAAAGTTAATTGAGGCTCGGGGCTCAATTTTCTTTTAACAGGGTTTTCAATGGCTTATATCAAAGCTTGAGTTTCATATAAGTAGTGTTAACATGAGAACTCTCCCTGGGTACTCACTTTGCAGTACTTAAATTGAAGTATGGCTTTCTTAGGATATGACATCCATTTCAATTAAACTGGATTTGATCTTATTAAGGCATACATTTTTCTATACCTATTGTATATACCGGTATGTGTAGATGTGAATACCAAGGTGCATTCATTATATGGAAGTGCAAATGTGTTTGTGATAGTCTATGTGAGAATCTATTTAGGTAGACAACTACTGTATGTGTATTTTTAATTGTACCTTGTCTACCTTAACAATAGTCTTGCTTCAAGACTCTAGACTATAACAACTGGTTGTTAGAGTAGATACTCCAGGGTTTTGAAGCAAGGCTACCTTAACAAGTGCAAATGAAGGGCCAAATTGTATACACATGAATATTCTAGTACTCGCTACACCTATTCATTTCATGTTTAAAACTATTTATTCAGAACCACTCCACACATCTATGTTCATTGAACAAAATCTATGTTTCTAAAGAACCTGTTTTTCAATTTTTTATTTCTTTAGAATGTTTACCATAATATTAACTTCTTGTATTTTAGTATTGCATATACTTAAAAGATCAGTGGGGGGGGGGATAAGTAGAATAGTAGATCATATATTTTTACAGTATCTGTAGTTATATATTCTTTTTATATAGACTTTTGAGTATACAAGTTTAAACACATGGACTATAACATTGATGTATATATTTCAATTTGATGTATCCTGTCTGTACATGTATGTACCTGAATTATGAATAAAATAAATAAAAATAAATCATATTGCCTATTCTGTCCTAAACTACGGTTTAGAAAACATACTTTAAACTTGCTTTAAACTTTCAAAAAGGACAACCCGCTTATTTTGAAATAACCTCTCAAAGATGTCACAGTTTTACAGATGGAAGTTTGAATATTTAGGTGAGGTGTAAAATTATAACAATGCAATTTATTCATGTACATGGTGTGCCAATAAAAACGTCCATATTTTTATTTTTGTAATATCTTCACTGGTATGTTAGGCATATCCATAAATTATATATCATTTAAAAGATAATTCAATTTCCCGAAAGTGATACATGATTCATGAAATATGAATGGCTATAGGTGACTGACTCCATGGTCATTTTCATATCATGGGGGGAGTAACAGTCGTAAACAACATTTCGTTATATGTTCTGAGCTTAATACATAATATTGCATTGCTTAATCAACACTTTTAGGCTTTTACATATGAAGAAAATGTATTGGACTGGAGTTTTTTTGTTTTTAAATCTTTGTATAGCTCCAAAATAATCATGCTTGTGATGTGAACCAAAACAACCCAATAAGGTGTGTATTAATGATTAAATTTCCTGTTATCTCAAAATCTGCTTGAAACTATACCATTGGATTACTATGGAAAATTCCACAAAGAGAAAATTCATGGGATTAAGGAAGGGGTACCACTTACACAATTTGAGAAATTATTGGCAAACATGAAACCTATTTAAAACAGCATTAATATTATTCAAAAGCGACCGTAATGATGATTCCCAGTCCTCTGAAGTTTGAAAAATAACAATACGTGGGTGTTATTCCATAGATAATCCTTGAAAATGAGAAATTATTTTTAGGATTATATGGTGCAATCTTATAGTCAATAAAATGTTTTAAAGTGTATTGATGTTTTTTAGATGAAAAAACACAAGCGAAATGCATGAAAAAGCTCCCCAGATTCATTCTACAAACAACTCATGGAAATCAACATGTAAAATTTTAATATCCACTTTCTAATTTTCCTGATTCAAAGATATTGTTCAAGTGGATAGATACATTTAATGAATTACAGATATTAAAAAGATAATATTAGATTTCTAATTGATAATGGTTCAGAGGTGTTTATAATGAAACAATCGCTAAATATGGTTGATAATCCAGGATTATCTATAACTCAAGGCATTTTAGAACACTACGGGAAATGTATATTAGCAGTTGAAACACTATCCTATCATCTACCTATATGATATTTGATCAATAAAGTCTAGAATTGATAATTGTCTTCCCCTCCCCTCATTGAGAAACCGAGAAGCACATTTTCTAGGCTCAAAGGGTTAAAATGTGCTAAATGAAATGTATATCTGTGATTGTGTTATGTCACCTGGTGGTGACAAATGGTGTCTGTTACAAATGGCAGGTGGTGACATTTTGCATGTTAAGCCTTAAATACTAATATTTGATGAACTGAGAAATTTATCGATCACCGAATGGATTCTATCTTGTAGTGACGTCACAATTAGGCCACCCAGCTCTAGATGTTTGATTTTGAGGGATTATCTTCTATATTTCGTCCTTTATTGATTTATTTTTCATGAAAACGTTCATGAAATCGCCCCCCGATTTTGACAAATACTATACGCTTATAGGCATCGATGTTTAGTATGAATTTCACCAAAACTTCGCACATATATAGAAATAATCATGATCTAGTCAAATTGGCATAACTGGTAAATATCCGACCCATGGTTTTCATAAAAGAAACGACAATATTTTTTGCTCAAAACTGCCAAGTGTCCGCCATTTCGTGATTCCATCATGTCTAATATCATTTCTATATGTCATCACACCAATAAGACGAAATACATGACAACAGTATCCATAAACAAAATTCCTGAATTCTGATCGCAAAAAGGTCAATTGACTACTTAAGAATCCCAATTTGCCCTTGATAGAGTGCTAATAGCTCAATAAATACATTGAATCCATAACCTGTTTTAGTTCATTGATGTTGTTTCATTATATGTTTTCAGTTATACGTATCAAATGATTTGGGGAAGTCTTGGGACCTTGTACATAACCATGTGAACAGCAGATTTTTCTGGTAAGCAGTCATAAATATTGAATCTTAAACAAAGTAAAGTTGTACAGTCTAATCTATAATAGTTCATTGTAATATAAACTCCAAGATTTTGGGCACAGAGACTAATATGGGCATTATCAAAATATTCCAATCCACATTGGCAAGTGCGGATTGCACTCCTACTTGGTGAAAATTCAAAATGGCCACTGAAGTTGCTGTCAAAAATAGATATGTTTTTGATTTCATATGTCTCTGTATGTTATAATCAAAGGGCCATATAATTTAAACCTGTCTGTAGTGAACACCTACCTAGTGCAAGGGAAGGCTGTTCTTATAAACAGTCTCCATTGGAGCCTAGATATCAATAATGCCATCAGTTTTTTGCAATCAATGAGTCACGAGTTACGCTGACATTTATATTAGAAATGCAATATATTGATTAAACCAATGATAGTTATTCAGAAGGGAATATGCACAATTGTCCAAAACTGCTTCTATGAGCCTGTACATCCATATACCAACTTGAGAACCAGTAAAATGATACCAGTAGTATATACTAGTGCACAAATGTCTCATTTTGTCTGATTCCACATGATCATGTAAAGGAGTCATGCAAAAATCATAAATATATATTTATAATGAAGGTATTTGAGAATAGACAAGAAAAAGTTACATCATTTTTCTGAATTGTATCTTGGTTGATTTTTTATCTCTATAAAGTTTGTCTATGTTTATTCCAGCAAAATGTTGACTTAGGGATATAAAAAAGCAACTCGTCCATTTTCTCATCCATCCCTCCATTCGTCAATCTGTCCAACCATTTATCTGTTGATACTGGTTGATTTAGTTCAAAAATTTTAGACTGATACATTATGAGCATTACACTTGTGCTCTAGAAGAAATTTCCCAGGCCCGTAGCCAGGGGGGGGTTCGCAGGGTTCGGGCCAAAAACTTTTTCAAAATCATGCAGTTTTTCACCATTTTGAGCACTTCTCAAGTGATTTTAGCCTTATTTGGGCCAAAATTGTCAAATGTGAAACCCCCCTGGAAATTTTTGAAAACTGACCCCCCCCCTTGAAAAATCCTGGCTACAGGCCTTTGGCCAATCAATTCAGAATGGCCACCATTTTTCGTAAAAATGTAACTCAAATACCAGTTGTTTGTCTCAGTTTAAGTTTTATAGGCTGATGCCTAAGACAAAGAATATCTGTCAAAGATGGCTGTTGAATTCAAAATGGTCCCATTGGTAGAGATTTGGCCAATACTACTACCAATACTACCAGCTGGTTGTTTTTTTAATCATGAACTGTTCAAAACTACATGTGATTTGAGGATTATATTTTGTGTGGTTGGATTTGCTACTCAGGGTAGCCGCTGTCTTTCTAGCCACAATAAGCAGAAATTGGTAATTGCAGTCATATATTTAATGTGAGGAGACATAATGATATAATTTTCATGGAGGAAATATTTTTTCAGGGCTGTTAAAGGTGTTGATAAAGATTCTGCCACAATTCACATGGAGGTTCAGGATACAAGAACAGGTACATGTAATTTATTTATGCTAAGGACAGAATTTATTGTATATAAACTAGACTGACATTTCCCCCCACAATTACATCTTTTGTGCCAACCCCCTACTTAAATCCCTGATGTATATGCTATAGAACTACATAAAACACTATTTGTGTGCTATCCAAGGCAAACGGTGTGTTAAGAACAGCGTAGTTGTTCAAGAGTATCCAATAGTATTTGAAGGACTTGATGAAATGCTGCATACCATATTTGACATAAAGAGCACATTTAATGCTTTTGAAATTCAAATCCCAAATAGCCCATTTTTCACACCATACTCATTCAAAAAACGCATGTATAATATGTATTATGATTCTACCTGCAGGGGAGTACCGCTACACTGCCTGTGTAAAGCCTTATATGGATGGATGCAATAGTCTGCCAGAACTTGATATCGGTGACATAGACATGTACTCTCTTGTTGTTCAGGATGAGTACATATTTGCACAGGTAATCATAAGAGAACTATTTTCAGGATTCCAGGTCTTAATTAATGAAAATCAAAATATTATTAAGAGACTACAAATGTATCTTGGGAGATTTATAGTAAAACTTATCATCCAAATCCTCAAAACCGGAGTCATTTAATTCAAAACAACAGTAAAAGCACATACTTTCTCCTTTCCACAATGCTTTTTAACTGTTTCTTTGCTAAATGATAATCTAGATTCATGAAGATTGTTGTGTTGTCCTTATCAAATTGAATTTTGGGTAAAAATTGTTAACTTTCAACCTGGCAAAATGACCAACAATGAAGTAAATAAACAAGTACTGTATAAATAAGTATGGTAACACTAATATTCAACATCAAAATCATAACCATATAATATGTGTATTCTATATATTTTGTAGAAAACAGATTTTATGTCTGGAACATTGTATGTGTCATACAATAGAAAGCCATTCAGAGCTGCAATGTTCCCACAAGGACTACATCCACAGGTGAGTAGCTACAGGTATTTTGTTTACATTCACAGGTGAGTAGCTACAGGTATTTTGTTTACATTCACAGGTGAGTAGCTACAGGTATTTTGTTTACATTCACAGGTGAGTAGCTGCAGGTATTTTGTTTACATCCACTGGTGAGTAGCTGCAGGTATTTTGTTTACATCCACTGGTGAGTAGCTGCAGCTATTTTGTTTACATCTACTGGTGAGTAGCTGCAGGTATTTTGTTTACATCCACAGGTGGAAGCTGCAGGTGTTTTGTTTACATTCACAGGTGAGTAGCTACAGGTATTTTGTTTACATCCCTGTTGAATATCACTCAATCATTCGATATCATGGAACAAAGTGAAATTGGAATTAGAGAGGAACAGTCATAAAGAGAGCAGCACCTTTTTAGTTTGCTTTTTACACTACAGAGGGCCATACTGATGTTCTACACAATATGAGCGTGCCAAGATGTGATTTTTTTCTTCATTTCATCAGGCCCTCTGTAAATGACATATTGCTGCGGCCATATAAAATACATATTCAATCCCCCGATAAATAACCTCTATTAATTCAATGATTTGCATAAAACACAAAAATATTGTGCATGAGAAAATCCATTTAAGAAATCTCTAGCATATTTTTATAAAATCTTAAGCCCAGAAAGCAATTCAATTTTCTTTATTATTCATAATAAACATAATTGTTTCAGGACTTTAGGATCTTGGACACAGATGAGCACCAAGTGTTCCTCGCTGTAGATCATGTGGAGAATATAGTGAACCTGTATCTGTCTGATGTAGAAGGATGGCTCTTCACACTGACCCTAGACAGAGTCCGCTCTGTTAACCAAGCAAATGGCTTTTCTGTTGACTTCTATGAGGTAACAACTAAAATTTAAATGAGTCTATGTTGCCCCTTTGCTTCTACTTGTTTTCAAATACATGCTCTTTCCAATAAAACTTTTGTCGGGTTCAAAGTCAATAAATAGTAGTTTTCTGATTTAGTCTAATATAACAAGTGGTTTTTATGTCCCCACCACATAGTGTGGGGCCATATTGTCGGCCTAGGCGCGTCTGTCTGTCCGTCTGTCCGTATGTCCGTCCGTACGTCCGGTAGTTTTCTCCAAAACCGCAACAGATATCACCTTCAAATTTTCAGGGATAACTTATGAGTGCATCTAGATGTGGATGAAAAAAATTTAATTCGATACCTACTTCCTGTCGGCCATTTTGAAGTCAAATGCTAAAATCCTTGTCTGCAAACTTTAAGAAAAATGTCTTCACAGTTGCTTTTGAAACTTTAATATCTTGTTCAGCTCACTTCATTCTACTTCTGATTAGGTTTTGGACCTGTTAGCTCAGTCATGTCAGCCATTTTGAATGTTTTAAGAAAAGTTAGCGCGCGATAATAGTTTGTATCATATTGAATGGTGTTTTTCACTTTTCATACTTTAACTATTTAGTAGCTTTATAAATAATTTCAGGTGTACTTTGTTGTAAAAGCCTATGTTATTGTTAACAGTAGTTATATGTGATAATTTTGTAAAAAGAAATCAGCAAAAACTCATAATCACTTTTTTATTGTCGGCCATTTTGGATTTCCCCATCCTAAAATCTTGTCTGTAAAGTCTTGTCTTCGCGTTTTCAGGTGAACCGTTTGGTAGATCAATTTCAAATTTTCAGGGATGATTCTTAGGCTGAAAATCTAGATCTGATTAGTTTTTTGGCATTCTGGGTAAATGTTAAGGCAGCCATTTTGGATTTTCCATCCTAAAATCTTGTCTGTAAAGTCTTGTCTAGGCATTTCAAGGTGAACTGTTTTGTAGATCAATTTCAAATTTTCAGGGATGATTCTTAGTATGAAAATATAGATCTGATTAGTTTTTTGGCATTCTGGATAAATGTCAAGGCAGCCATTTTGGATTTTCCATCTTAAAATCTTGCCCGTAAAGTCTTGTCTACGCATTTTTAGGTGAACCGTGTGGTAGATCAATTTCAAATTTTCAGGGATGATTCTTAGTATGAAAATCTAGATCTGGTTAGTTTTTTGTCATTCTGGGTAAATGTCAAGGCAGCCATTTTGGATTTTCTGTCCTAAAATCTTGTCTGTAAAGTCTTGTCTGGGCATTTCCAGGTGAACCGTTTGGTAGATCAATTTCAAATTTTCAGGGATGATTCTTAGTATGAAAATCTAGATCTGATTAGTTTTTTGGCATTCTGGATAAATGTCAAGGCAGCCATTTTGGATTTTCTGTCTTAAAATCCTGCCTGTAAAGTCTTGTCTATGTGTTTTTAGGTGAACCATTTGGTAGATCAATTTCAAATTTTCAGGGATGATTCTTAGCATAAAAATCTAGATCTGATTAGTTTTTGGGCATTCTGGGCAAATGTCAAGGCAGCCATTTTGGATTTTCTGTCCTAAAATCTTGTCTGTTAAATTTTGTCTACGCATTTCCAGGTGAACCGTTTGGTATCACCACATAGTGTGGGGCCATATTGTCGGCCTAGGCGCGTCTGTCTGTCCGTATGTCCGTCTGTCCGTATGTCCGTCCATACATCCGGCAGTTTTCTCCAAAACCGCTACAGATATCACCTTCAAATTTTCAGGGATAACTTATGAGTGCATCTAGATGTGGATGAAAAAATTTAATTCGATACCTACTTCCTGTCGGCCATTTTGAAGTCAAATGCTAAAATCCTTGTCTGCAAACTTTAAGAAAAATGGCTTCACAGTTGCTTTTGAAACTTTAACATCTTGTTCAGCTCACTTCATTCTAGATCTGATTAGGTTTTGGACCTGTTAGCTCAGGCATGTCAGCCATTTTGAATGTTTAAAGAAAAGTTAGCGCGCGATAATAGTTTGTATCATATTGAATGGTGTTTTTTTCACTTTTCATACTTTAACTATTTTGTAGCTTTATAAATAATTTCAGGTGTACTTTGTTGTAAAAGCCTATGTTATTGTTAACAGTAGTTATATGTGATAATTTTGTAAAAAGAAATCAGCAAAAACTCATAATCACTTTTTATTGTCGGCCATTTTTGATTTTTCCGTCCTAAAATCTTGTCTGTAAAGTCTTGTCTTCGCGTTTTCAGGTGAACCGTTTGGTAGATCAATTTCAAATTTTCAGGGATGATTCTTAGTATGAAAATCTAGATCTGATTAGTTTTTGGGCATTCTGGGTAAATGTCAAGGCAGCCATTTTGGATTTTCCGTCCTAAAATCTTGTCTGTAAAGTCTTGTCTGCGCATTTCCAGGTGAACTGTTTGGTAGATCAATTTCAAATTTTCAGGGAAGATTCTTAGTATGAAAATATAGATCTGATTAGTTTTTTGGCTTTCTGGATAAATGTCAAGGCAGCCATTTTGGATTTTCCATCTTAAAATCTTGCCCGTAAAGTCTTGTCTACGCATTTTTAGGTGAACCGTGTGGTAGATCAATTTCAAATTTTCAGGGATGATTCTCAGTATGAAAATCTAGATCTGGTTAGTTTTTTGGCATTCTGGGTAAATGTCAAGGCAGCCATTTTGGATTTTCTGTCCTAAAATCTTGTCTGTAAAGTCTTGTCTGGGCATTTCCAGGTGAACCGTTTGGTAGATCAATTTCAAATTTTCAGGGATGATTCTTAGTATGAAAATCTAGATCTGATTAGTTTTTTGGCATTCTGGATAAATGTCAAGGCAGCCATTTTGGATTTTCTGTCTTAAAATCCTGCCTGTAAAGTCTTGTCTACGCGTTTTTAGGTGAACCATTTGGTAGATCAATTTAAAATTTTCAGGGATGATTCTTAGTATAAAAATCTAGATCTGATTAGTTTTTGGGCATTCTGGGTAAATGTCAAGGCAGCCATTTTGGATTTTCTGTCCTCAAATCTTGTCTTTTAAATTTTGTCTACGCATTTCCAGGTGAACCGTTTGGTAGATCAATTTCAAATCTTCAGGGATGATTCTTAGTATGAAAATCTAGAAGAGCTTAGTACAATCTTGTTTGTAAAGCCTTGTTAACATGTTTTCTGGTTAACTGTGAGAGGGATCAATTTCAAATTTTCATGGGTGGTTGGTTCTTAGTATCAAAATCTAGAACTGACTAATTTTTTGGCATTCTGGGTAAATTTTAAGGTGGCAATTTTGGATACTTCGTCCTCAAATTGTGTCGGTAAAGTCTTGTCTACTCATTTTTAGGATAACCATTTGACGGGATCACACATAGGTGGGGACATTTTGTACACATTTTTGTTCTTGTAATTTGTTTGTTTCCAAGTCTCCCTCCTAATATGTGGCCACTTTACTGGATGTAGACATGCCAAGTATCATCTGATTATTGCTCCAAAATGTAATTCAGGTGAAGGGGTCTCAAGGAACATACATAGCAAACCAGGAGGGCTACAATGGCCGTGATATGACTACAAGGATAACATTTGATAAAGGTGGAAACTGGTCTGTTATACCTGCTCCAGCTGAGGACTCTTATAACCAGGAATTCAACTGTAAACTAGTGAGTACTGAGTGACTTAGTTGAAGTGTTTCAAACAATTTTGTAGACTTGGTTATCAGATCATCGAGTCAATTATCTGAATATTCTCAAAGCCTCTTTGTCTTCTTGGTTTTTTATGAATCCTCTATCAGTAATTTTTTGTAAAATGGCAAAAATCAGAACCAGGAAAGAGTGCCATCTATCATTGTAATATTGCTGTAAATTAATCAGTAATCTCTACACTGGTCTTCCAAATATTAAAGCAACAGGGTCCCCTGTATCTGAAATACATACCAGTGCTGAATATCATGGCAGAATACGCTATATGGATAAAATAGAAATAATACATGAAACTTGTATATTTCAGCCGGCATGTTCACTGTTTATCCATCTAGGATTTAGCAGTTCTATGTACAACATTCCATATATTCTCTCTAATGTAGATGCCCCAGGACTCATCTTTGCCCAAGGTAGATATAACAAGATTGAATTGGCGCTTTTACATTATGCAATTTTGCCAATTCTTATCCGTAAAGATTACTTTTAATAGACAAATGTTGACCAGTTCCAGAATAGACTCATATTATAAAAATGAATTTTTATGTGAATAAGTTTATTTGGTAATTGAAATATTTTTGTTCAAAAATTAACTCAACGTACATTTCCATAATTTCAGTTTCTAGTTGTGTTCAACTGATCACACTGTGAAATACAGTATGGATGTTTTCATTGTTCATCCAAATAACACAACCTACATATCTATCAATGAAAATAACTTTAAGCTTATGTTCATTCTCAGAGGTTAGTATCAGATCAGACTTATTTGTAATTTTCTGTCCACATAATATGCTTTAATTGGACTGTATGATGATTTACATTTATGCAGGGTCTCCCAACACAACCATGTCATTTAGAAATTCTAGACCTAATTCATTTATGTCCCGTGATGGAGGGCATACATGGAGTGAGGTTTTCAAGGGCAGTTATAGCTTCAACATATTGGACCAAGGTGGCGCTATTGTAGCTGTAGCTGATAATTTTTTCAACAAAACCAACCAAATCAGGTAAGTCAGATCTTATCATTTTTTTTTTACTTTAACAATATTTTTAGCTCATGTCGCGAGCCTTTTGAATCACCCACATGTCTATCTGAAGACTTATGAAAGAAATTATCAGAAAAATGTACATTATGAAATACATAGAAGTGACTACATCCATCGAATAAGAAAGGATTGTATACAAAACATTTCAAATTAATTCAAAATACTTTTGGAGAAATAGTGTAGTAAACCTGTGGTTGAAATATCATATTTTTCATAATACTGTCTTGTATAAAGACTCACCGTGTAAGGCCACCGAATGGGGATGTATTCAACTTTTTTGTGGATTGTGGTTGGTGTCTGTAACAAATGGTAGGTAGTGACATTTTGCATTTATTTGTATTATAGGTACAGCTGTACAGAAGGAAAAATCTGGAAGAACTACACCTACCATAACTATTCCATGCATGTTGATGGTGTGCTAAATGAGCCAGGGATAACTTCATTAGTTGTCAGGTACTGTATTCTAATTGAATGGAATTGAAATATCTTCTAAAATAAATAGAAACAAAAGGCAGACAAGGCAAGCTTTGTTGGTTAAATCAGACATTGTTAGCTTTTAGTTATAGCTAAGAAAACGAGAGGTTCACATGAAGTTATGACATCACAAACAGAACTTTTCAGTTTATAAACAATGATAGCCTAGATGCTTGCATTTATATGTATGCTGTTCTGTTTGTGATTTCATTTTCATCAGATTGATTATTTAGTTATTGATAATCCTTTAAGCTGTATATATTTCATTTTTAATGTTATTGAATACCAAAGAAAGGATTACTTGTTCACTACACTAACACTGTATAACAGGATTTATTTCACTTTTGGACAAATTATCTAAGTGTTTCTTATGATGCCATTTTCAGTTGTTCTAATGTATGAAATATGAAAGTCTTTAAGTACTGGCAGCTTTCCAAACAAACATCGACTCTTTCTGAATATTTCATGTCTTGAGTTTGAGGCTGTTTAGTATTTGGCAAGTGGCCTCAAGGCTGATTCCAGATATAGTCAACTAACAGGAAAGTGTCATTTTATATTTTCCTTCTATATCAGTAAATATGGATACTCAGATGAGATGGAATCGAGGAATTTCAATATAACCATATTTTTGTGTGTATTTCAGTATATATGGACACATGGATAAAAATCAGGGCTGGGTGATTGTAAAGGTTGACTTCTCAAGCATTCTTAGCCTAAAATGTACAGATAACGACTACACTACTTGGACGCCATATGATGAGGTGAGTTCAGAAAAATTCATTCAATTGGAAAAAGTAAAATTCATTTTTGGCTCACACAGTGAGCCTATGGGATCGACCAGGCGTCCATTGGTCGTCCGTTGGTCCGTCCATCTGTCCGTCCATCCGTCCGATACTTGGCAAATCAATGTTACTTTGGATAAGCTTTAGAATGATATATGACACATACTATGGGAACATTGGTATTGTCTGCCAAGGGGGCCCCATACTTTCGGGACACCCTGTACATTCCTCTGAAGGTTCTACACTGTGTGAGCACAGGACCGTTGGTCCTTTATTAATCATATAAAACATGAGAGGCAATATGAGAATATTAAAGACAATGTGTAAAACAAATAATAGCAAGCTATAGATTTGCATATTTGAAAAATCATTTAACAATACATGATTATACAAATTCCTGATTCTTGGATTTTTGTAAACTATCATATAGATGTAAGGTGATCAGTGGGTCTTGTGTATGATATATCCTATTTGATATTTCAGGCTGGTCACGAGTGTATACTAGGCCAGAAGATAATCTATGAAAGACGTAAACAAAGGTCTGTTTGTTACAATGGACGTGATTACGTTCGACCAACGAACAAGTCTGTATGTGAATGCGTATCTGAAGACTTCGAATGGTAAGAAAACATGTAATTTCACTCTTAAATTCAGAAGATAAACCTTCTTTCTAAAGTCACTATTTTAAAGAGAAATAGAAGTAGCTCATTGTATACACTGACCAGTGCTGATAACAGAGGATAAAATGACATACCTTGCTGCTAGACTATAGTAACAAGTGTGCGTCATTTAAAAAGCTTGTGTGGAATTTCAGTGATTATGGTTATACTAGAGCCTCGGGAGGCATGTGTAAAGTAGAGAAGTGGTTCAATGCCTCAGTGCCCATAGCAGAGTGCCCTGAAGGCAAGTCATACAACAAATCATCCGGGTAAGTTCTGAGGTGAAATTTTAACATTAAAGTGTCAACAGACGCTATTCTATAGACTAAATTGTTTAAAGTAATCTTCAGTAGATAAATTGTATGCCATTTTGTCCTAACCAAACCCATATTTACTGATTTAGGATATACATGTACAGGGTGTCCGGAAAGTAAAGATACAAATGCTCTCATTTTAAGAGATGTAGCTGTTATAAGATGAAATTCTTCCAGGATGTAGAATGACATTATAGCAATATATCCTGCAATGGTCATGACTTTTAGCTTTAAAATGAAAAAGTTATGGTCGTTATGGTAACGGGAGTCGAGGGTATGTGGAGCAACGTCACAAATGTGTTTTACAAATCTCTTTCCTGCTCATAACATCTTGGCATTCTACCATCTATTCCTATATTACATCAAATTATGTACTACAACAGCATAAGGATTAGTACTGTAACATTATTTGATCTCTTCATATAACTACTATCATTGAATATTCAATATTTTCCCCATTATCTAAACACTTTTGGTGCATCTTGACCGGCATTTAAAGACTTGACAAAATCATTACTGTCCGTCTCTCAAATTCCTGATAACATTGGCTTCCAGCTGAGACTCATTTTGTATGTTGAACTTCTTACAAATATTGCTTTCAGATGGTCATTAGGTAGAAGTCAAAAAAGGTGAATCAGGTGAATATGGGGCATTGCATAGAAAGGTTTAATGTCAAGACAATCCATTTTTAGAATTGTTTTCTTTGCTTTGTGAATCGATGTATTATGGAGATGCAATATTGACTTTCCAACTAATCCAGAGACTGTTTTTTCTAAGCAGTTGTATGATATTTCTTTGATTATACTGGTTAGTGACATAAAATAGTTCTGATATGTAACAATGACATCATTATATAAAAGAAAAAAAAACTATGGCAGTAATAATGCAAACAACAAACAAAGCAAAAACATTGATAGAAAATACAACAAAAAACACTGTTTCAGATGGTTGTATTTTAGCAATTTTTGACATTTTAGCGATGTTCTGGAACTGCTCCGCATGCCTCTCACATCCGTAACCATAACAATCGTAACTTGAACACGTTAAGACTATGTGATGAAAGTTGGCAGATATATTGTAATAATCATTGTCTACAATCCGTAGCAGTTTCATTACAAAAGATCCAAATCTCTTAAAATAGGAGCATTTGTATCTTTACTTTCCGGACACCCTGTAGAATCAAAATTGCATGAAATTAAGATGCAAAAATGTCCAAATTATAATCTAATTTAAAAAGCATGAAATTATGAGTTAAGATGCAAAGTTCAGTAGGTGCTTCCTTTTCAGAATTATTATTAAATACAACATAACCTATTTGTTTTTATCTTTGTGTAACTATTGGACAGAGTCACTCAGCATTCTAAAACAATTCTTCTGTATTACACATTAATTTTATTCGTTTCAATTCTAATTTATTTTTGTTCAATTCCAATTTTAGATATCGCAAGGTGGCTTCTGACAAATGTAAAGGAGGTATAGAACGCAAATACCAGCCAAAGGTGACACCTTGTCCCCTTTTACCTCCTAGTGGTCTCCATATATCAACAGTTGATAGACTGGTAGTTGCAACTGGCTCTGATGTTAACTTCAAATTAACACAGTTGGGGGTGAGTTTCATAATATTGAATTTGTGTCATAAAACATTCACATTAAATGTAAAGGTTTGTAAAATTGTAAAATATTTCATCATCTTGATTATACTGGTCATTTTTATTTTACAATTTATGTCACCACCAATACTCCAATACGCGATAAAGTTTAGTTTAGTTCAGTTTAGTTACCTCCCGTTTGAAGAGCTCTCATGTAGGGTACAACTCCGTCTACATCCGGGTTCATTCCCATTGGATTACACAGGGGTGCAAACTGCAATTATGTAGGAGCCATTCTTATTAACTGTAGGGATCCAAGACAACAACAAAGTACAGCTGGAACTTTGGTGACAGTAATACAACATTTGAGTACACAGGCTTCAAGAAGGGCCAAAGTATGACACATAAATACAGCCAAAGGGGGATGTACACAGTCAATTGCACAGCATATAACACTGCAGGAAAGACAGAAACAACTATTGAACTAAGAGTGGAAGGTAAGAACTTTGATCAGTGTACTTGAGTTGAGTATAACTCCGAAATTGGCCTTTCCTCAAAGGTATCTCCTGAAGAATGTACTCGTATCATGCTAAAATCTCCAAATAAAGCCAAAATTATAGAGTAGTGCTGATATCTGAGAAGTTCCTGATAAATAACAAGTAAAGGTTAATGTTTAATTGATTTAGAGAAAAATAAGAGAACAAAAGAATATAATTCAGTCTAAATCATATTTTGTGTCTTGTTGATTTTCATGATTGTATTGATCATTTAGATGAGATCCATGGTGTGTATATAGAGTTCCCCAATAGTGTCCAGATCAACCAATTGATCACATTCACATTGTCTGTGATTTCTGCGGCACAACAGTCCATTATTTCCGACACAGGAACAGGAAATGTTCATTTCTTATGGACGTTTGGAGATGAGGTAGGCGTTTAAACCTATAGCTGTAAATTATTCCTTCAGTAGCCCATCTAGGTTATCAAGTAGTCAACTTCAACTCTGAATGGCTTGCTGGTCTGTAATTGACCCAGTCTATTACCAATCATAAACATTGACCCTGAAAGTCTGTGTCTGAATCAACTTGAATCACATTCAAATAAACATTTCATATCATCATATAAATGCAATAATTGTCTAGATGTTGATTGGTAGAAAGAAATCTAAATGCAACATTCTTGTAGGCTAAAACAAATATAGTGCTTTACATGTACATGTATAATCATTGCTTTCTCTAGAAGCCTGGTGCCCTACCAGTATTAACATGGGAGAAGAGTGTACAGCATCGCTATAGTCAACCTCAGAACTTCTCAGTCAGTGTGGAAGCTACCAACAGTGTCGGGTCTCTGTATAGAAAATTCACAATATTCGTGTATGGTAAGATATATAATAAATGCTAGCCTTGCCCAAGTTGGTCTCTTTTACTTATCTTGATTTCTAGTAATAATTCAAGATCAGATAAGTAAAACAATACCGATTTGGGCAAGGCTAAATATATGCTATTAAATGAGAGATTGGAATCATAGAGAGTATAGCACTATCTGTATGTATGGCGGATGATTCAGAAGTAATGGGCATAACTCATTATCCTTTCTATTGATTTTTTTTAACTTTAATTACTCTTTCCTTGGTTTATATTGAACCTGATATGAAACTACTTCTATTTTTTTATTTCACTTTATATGTACATGTACTATACTAGTATTGCATCAAGCCCTTGTGCGCCTCTCCCCTCATCTTACCTTGGGAGGTCTAATAGAATGCAGAGAGTTAAGAACTTAATGCAATTTGTACTTTCAGCTCAGTTAAAGAGAGTGAGACTGACATTCAATTCAGTGGCAGATAACGTGACGGATACAGCGTTTGGACGAACAACTCTTGCAGTTTTACTGAAAAATAAACTGCAAGATGTAGGTCTATTCTATCATTAGGAGATAATTTAAAATATTTGAAATATGATGAACACTTAATACGATAAACAAAAAATAAATATGAAGAACATAAATATGATGAACATAAATACTAGTATGATGAACACAAACTCAAAGTGAGCTTTTTGATTTGGAGAATCCTATATCAACAATTGAATATACATCCTAACCGTGTTCAGTATCATACTTTTATTATCCCATCGAACGTTGCATTGCCGTTGTCAAGTTAAGTTGCATTACTGTTGTCAAGTTAAGTTCTATGATTATAAAAAAATTCATAACTTTTCAAAAAATGTTCATGATTCTCAATGCTCAGGTGTCTGGGGTTTTAGAAGTGTCATCAAACGCTTCTGTGATGAAGGAATACCTGTATTAGTGAAAAGTGCTATTTTTGTGGATTTGGGGGTGATACAAAAAATATTGTCATCAAGATGGCAAGATTTGAATTTTACAGACTGATTAGGTTTTTGGCATGTTGGGTAATTAAGGAGGTGGCCATTTTGAATTCCAAGTGCTATTTATCACTGTGTTCTTGTTCTATATTGTAGGTGTTCTCTATTGGTAAAAGTAGGTTCCAGGTGAACCTGATCCCTGGGGTCCCTACCCAGGCTGATGTGTACTTTTTACCTATCAATCAAACAGATACTAAAGATCTTACGCTTAATAAGGTAGGTTTTCTTTAATTTTTTCATGAATATGTTGATGTTTCATTTTAGGATCTAGAAATGTCATTGGGTTATGATTTAAGTTTATCTTGGACGATTTGAAAGTTATATAATACTGAATAGATTATACACTATAAGTTATAGCAGACATCACATAGCTGCAGATTAGGTTGATTTGGAAGTAAATCATCAAAATCATAAAACAATATTCCTGGGGTGATTTTAAGCGTCAATCCATTTACTAACATGCTGTGTAATGTTTGTCTATATAACATTCATCATATTTAGACTTGTTCTTCCCATATATACAGGAAGTGCAGTTGATATTTATTGTTTTTGCTTGTAGCTTGCAAATGAATTAGTGTCCAAAATAGCTGACATTCAGATAGATGTTGCAAATAACAAGAAAGTTAACGTCACTGGAGCAGAAATTATAGGTAACGTCATCATTAAATTATAATTTTTCACTTCATTGTTGTGGCAGAAAATTACATCTTTCAAGTAGGATTTCAAAAATGAAAAAAAATATAAACTACTTACCGAAATTTATTTTCAAAAGTCTACTTTGAACATTTGTTTACTAACAGTGTTAACAATAACATATTTAGTTTAGAGATGGCCACCATCTACTGTACATATTCTATTGTGACAAATATATTTCATGGGATTGTTGAATTATCCTTTTATGTGCTCATTGGCCTTGTGTATTTGTATAGATGATGATGTACCCAAATCAGGTCCATCTACCTACTTGGCCTGGGTGATTGCTGTTCCAACACTCACAGCTGCACTCGTTGTCATTATTCTAGTCGCCTTGTACTATAGAAAGTGAGTCTTTAAAATCATGAAGTATGAATTATTGAACACATAGAGGTTATTTAATGGGAGGTTTTTGATACAAGGTATATCTGAGGGAAATACTATATATCAATCCGAGGGACGGTAGGGAGCGATGGTTGATATATTATATTTACCGAGGGATATACCATGCATCAAAAATCGAGCATTCAATTACTGATTTATTCTATACTTAGTAGATTATGACGGTTTATAGTCAAGTCCCCTGCCTCAGTATCAGCTCCCTGAATTTGTGATGTTGTAGATCTGATGAGCGGATCATATCAGTGGGTGATATATATATCAGCCGCTCACTTCAGATATAAATTATATTCCTGCATGTTATCTACCTATAATACTACCAAGTATGGAATAAACTGAATTATTTGATGTAGGTTTGAAAAATCAATTGAAATTGGAATGACCGTATTTTTCATGGATACATTTTACTTCATATGAAATGAATCAACATGGACTGTCTTTGATTCCAGGAGAATGAACAGCGTGCGTCGCTACACGCAGGTTCCCCAGGATGCAACAACTGATGCTTTGTTAGATGATGATGACCCTCCTTTGCGTCCAAACCCTGACACGTCAGATGATGACATGATAGATGTTAATGATACAAGTGAGTGGTGTAACAAATAAAAGGGAAAATTCAACATTTGACACTTCTCATGACTTACTTTTTGACTTTATGATTTCACTATTACATGTTTAGGCATGCAAAGGTATAAGCATCACATTTTATGCCACCTTTTATCTATATTAATGAATGAAATGGAATTGAATAGACGACTGTACTTTTACTTAATTTGGCGCCCAAATTATTAAAGTCCGCTAAATAAAGTAGCCGCCAACTTTCTCAGTAATTTTAGTACGTAATTTTAGTATGTAAATTGGAACCATCAGAGCATTGTAATATAGCAAGTCTGCCTAATTAAGTAACCGCAAAATGTTCAAAACAGCGCCAAAATAAGTAGCACCAAATGAGGTAAAAGTACAGTTACTCCATAAACTATGCCACCTCTTGGATGTTTTGTCATTCTTACAGTTTCTTTCACTTTTGTTTAGAGACATTGTTGTTTGCAAATTAAGTATGACTATGACATCATGAATCTAGACAATGACTTATTGGACAATACTTTTGAATACATTTGTCCATAAAGCTTCAGTCACATTTGCTCTACGATGGGCGTAGATTCACAAAATCGATATTGAAAGTACATCATACTGCTTATTCCTATATTATATGTTGCATATTTCTCTCGATTTTGGAAGCCACGGCTGCCGTAAGATTGCCACAGATCAAATGTGAGCGAGGGCTTAGATTTATTGAATTTTCAAGTGAATAGGAATGGTATATAAAATAAAATAAATTTTTTTTTGTTGTTTCCCATGATTCATATTGTATTTTTGATCTTAAGCTTTTCTACTTACCTTACCTTCTCTATCGTGATTGATCAGATCTATTTGAACACTTACAAATACAGTTATAACATCTAACTCTCTATCTAACTTTACTAATGACGTATTAATCTCTTTAGACCGCCAGCCCCATCTAGTGCTTATGTCAGGAATTAACACCTACCATGACGTAAATGCTTCAACTTGCTAGTGGCGCCACCTAGTTGGTGTGACTTCTAAACACTCTGCTCTGTAGGTGACTCCTCTTTGTTGTCTGTTACACTTATAGTATTTCTTTTATTTCATTTAGTTTTCACAAATATTTTCTTGTTTAAAGATTTCATAGTTTTCACAGCATTAAGGTTCAACAGTCAAATAGTTGGATTTCCGAAAATGTTCAAATGCTTGTTTCAAATCCTTCTGCTTATTTAGTTATATGGAACAACTAAATTTTATGGCATCAAGTGTTTTGCTACTTGATAGCTTAGCATAGGGATACACAAAAATGGATCTAAATATACTGGTCCTAGGCAAATCAGTCATTTTATTAAAAAATACAAAGTGGAAGAACTTGATGTTTTTTGTCATATGATATATATTTCTTATTTTACAGATCCATTCCATTGAATTAGAGACTAATGATGTAGTCATAAATCTCCAGAGCCAGGCTCCAGAAGAAATGAAATCTCTTATAACATATGCTTGAATATGATCTGGATGTCAGAATTCACTAAAAACAACCACAACGTATTTGCTTTTATAACAAAGCATTTAAACCCAGTGTGAGCCTTGAAGAGCCAATATAGTTTCCTAAAAGAAAATGTATTGTACAACCAATTATGTTGTGAGAAGAGTGCATTGTTGATTGTTGAACTTAAATTCTTCAATCAGTATTTAACCCTTACGGAACTACTTGTTCATTCAAAAGTAATATTTCATGTACTTTCAACTTTCATGCCTATTAAAAGAGAATTTGATAAATATTTAGGACACGTATGATACATCAAATTAAAGCTTGTCTGAGTGTTAAAAGCTCTTATACAATCTTTAGAAGCATATAGGACCCACTTTCTGCAGATATATGGAACATACAGAAAGGCCAATTTACGAATTAACTTTAATTATCCGCAGACTGATAAGAGTAAAGAAAGTAACAATTTTTTATTTAGTTAATTACTTTTGTAAATATGTATAGCATGGGTGTCTTAGTTATGCACAAATGATGAACATTTATGAGTACAGTGCAATCTCTAAGTTGACTCAAACTCCATTGTTTAAAAATGGATTTTATATCATATACTAAAAATATGATGTGTAAATATTTTTATCTTCTTCTTCAATAGCATGTCTATTGTAATTGGTTAAGCTTGTAATTCTGTGTAAATTCTGTATAAAGCATCTTTGACACCTCTATTGCTGTGCAATATTTGGTCCAATGTAAGGTCAAGTCAAAATATTGATGTTTGTCAAAATAAGCTGTTTTGCTGTAGCAGCCTTGTACACGTGTAGTTAAACAGTCTTTGTTAAAAACAAATGTAAAAAAATACTTTGATAAAGCAGTCTGTCATGAAACTTAACAGCATTTTTGACCTGTATCGATGTTTTCATTTGATCTTTAAGATCTGTTTCTTATTTTTATATATTTTTTGTTCATTTAGTGAGGTACAATCTGTATTGAGTAGGGTTAACTATTTATGGAATATTGGAAAACTCTGCCAGAAATTAAAGTTTTTGGTACTGCATTTTAAAGTCTTCTAGTCTAACTCATTAAACCTCAGCATCCTTACCAATGGTCCACTCCTTACCCTCATTCCTTATCTGTAGTTTGTATTCTGAGTCCTTACTTCCATTCCTTACCCATGCTCCTTATTCTTGGCGTTGTGTCATCAGTCCGTTCCCTGGTTACATACCTCCAATCCCACAGGTGTCAAACTATACACAAAACACTGTTAATTTGAATTTTAGACCTACCAGATATTTGAGAATCAAGGATTGTGAGTCTCATACTGCACCTTTCCATTCAACTGATTCCATTCAAAGCAAAACACAAATGCCTTTCTATTCGTGCATTATTCTGTAATACAGAGCCCCTCATTTTAGTGGCGTTTGGGAACATCTGGGGACCCAAACACCGCTAAAACGAGGGACTGAATGGATCAAGTTTGAAGAGAAGCAGTGCAGTATGAAACTCACAATCCTTGATTTTCAAATATCTGGTATATATGTCTAAAATTCAAATTAATGGTTGTAGTTGGCACCACATGAATCCTTAGCTCTACTGTTTATATCCCACCCTTACCATTAGGTTTTACACTCATTCCTTACTCCTGATCATTTCTCCAATACACAACCCTTGAATTTTGAACTCCCTACCCCAACTCTGAGAATTAAGCCACAACAATAAAATCGGTATTTTTAAGAATTAATAGCATAGATTATAATTTTTATTATTACTACAATACCATTATTACCACAGAATTTTTGGTACAAAATTTTTTAACAATAGAACAATTGTAAATATTTATGAATCATTCCATCTGCTAAGCACAGTAGATATCTGTATAAAATATAAACTGCTTTCAATAATATTTTAATATAAAAAGATGTAGGCTTACTGTATATATGGTATATATATTTTCTCAAATCATGTTATGTGTATATAGTTTGTGTAAAAACAGCTATGTTGTGATAATGTAATGTGCAAAAATATATATATACAGTCTTACTATGTCACTGTTTGTCACCACCAGAAGTGGTGACATATCGTTAGTCTCTAACTTTTTTGTGGCCGATGTTTAGCGTTCGGCAGTTGGCATCAACATATGGCATCTGGGTCTGTAACAAATGGCTGGTGGTGACATTTTGCATGTTAATGCCTTGTAATTGTCTATTAAGATTATCAACTGATGTAAATTCTGCAGAATTGCCTTAATTATTGATGTGTATCTGAATTGCCTATCCTCACAAGTTGCTTGTCTCTGAACAGTGCCATAATGACAGTTGGATAGGGAGACTAGAAACCAAACATGGTTGTACATTAGAGTTTTTGTAATTAGGCTATGGACATACTATTGAACATATGAATGTAAGATATTTGATTGGTTTTGCATACAACGTAATACATTGCTATGTGAAAACTATAGGGATTGTGCATCAGCAATTTTCTGGAGTAACCAACATTGATGTACTAATGCTGTACATCAGGGTTTCTTTCAGACATTGTTCTATGATCAGAATCATTTCATTGACGATTATTGTGCAAGCCAATCAGATTACACTGTATATTGTCGTGTGATTTGGTTTAGGTCAGCAAAAACTCTAATTTTATAAATTATTATATGTGTTCATGTATTGTTGAATACAGAGAAGTAGAAAGCACGATCTAATACATTTTTATGTTTTAATTATTAATTTATTTCCCCTTGAAAATAATTGTGCACTAAATGAAATCCTACTTCATCCAATCTGCAATACCACTGTAAATGTGCCCTCAATGAGAGTAAATGTCCTAATGTCTTTCCACTTTGCGTTTAATCCATGGCATGAACTCATAAATTTTGGTGTAAACTCCAGGTTTCCTTGGCTGGCCACATCCCTGTCCCCAACTAGTCACCCCTAAAGTGTATAGTACATGCTCATGTAATTGTAGCAAAAGATTGTGATAATGGACATTCATGAAGAAACATTAAAAGTTCAATGAATACAATCAAAAGGGTATCACATTTTATCATATTTTGTATAGTTTTTAAGGTTTGAGGATCTCTTAACTAATTGATGTTTTGAACTACTCCCACATCCCAAAAACCAAATGAAGTATTACATGCGAATATTCACTGGGAGTTGGAACATTATAACAAAAAGCTGGCTCACCATTTTTATTGGTCCAGTGTCAAAATGAGACATAATCAACTTTGACCCTCAGACCACAAATGAAAAAATAGATTCTAAATTGACTTACCTACCAAAGTGGCAAGTTTCACTCGAGGGTCACCTTTATCTGGTATATCACACATCAGTGGTCCACCAGAGTCACCCTGTAGAGAACAATCAAGATTTTCAAGATGGCCACTGAATTCAAAATGGCTACCATAATGAATAATATATCACTTTTGAGATTCAGTTTTCTGGTTTGGTTCTAATTTAATTCTAATGTCTTATGGGATAGAACCTCTGATAAGAGATTTGATAAAATAGTTTTGTTCAGTGGGATTTACTACTCCAAGGGAGTTACTGTTTTTTGAGTTATGTATCTGTTTACCTATACTGTGGTAAGCAAGATAGAACATAATGCAATTCAATTAAATATAATGCAATTCAATAAGATATAATGCAATTCTATAAAATATGATGCAATCCAATAAAATATAATGCAATTTAAAAGAATATAATGCAATTCAATAAAGTATAATGCTGTAATGCAATTCAATAGAATATAATGCTATCCAATAAAAAAATGCAATTCAATAATAAAAATATAGCAATGTAACAAAATAATGCAATACTTGAAGGAGCAAAATGTGAGAAATAAAACATACTGAGCACGAGTCCTGTCCTCCATACTCCTTGCCAGCACATTGCATGAACCACTTCACCTTATCTCCATACCATGTCTTTTTCTTACAGGTCCTGTGTGGGATCAGGGGGAGGTCAACACGTTGGAGTGAATCGCTCAAAGTATCAAGCACCACATCCAACCAATCGCCACCTAAAATAGTCACTTCATTTCTCACTAATGGATGCATATACCACTGATCACACAGATAATTTGTAAGTCTGCTATAATTGCAAATTGCAAATTTGTGTGGTATATTTTGCCATGGGTGGTTTTCAAAGTGAATCCATTGTACAATATACCATTGTAGACCTCTCTTGAGGTCAACTGTCAAAATTGTATACCTCCAGTCCCACAATTGTATACAGTATACTTTTTTAAATGCCAAATTAAATAGTTACCATTAGTTTGAAAATGACAAATTCTTCAAATTAAATGTTACCAGGACACATCCTGGGTTAAAATAAAGGCAAAAAGCTGACCTTTCCTTTTCCCCCAGCCGGCTGTGTAACATTTCATATTGGCAAACTCCAGAGGATTGTCGAGAGGGTTCTCTTCTGGCAAACAGATTGGCTGTACAAAATGTGTATAGTTTACAGCATGGGCTAGTTTTACAAGTGCAATGTCTCTCCGTTCAGTCTCTTCATCTCTTGACGTGTATTTGGGATGTATGAATATTTTGGACAATGGAATATGTTGTTCACCTATATCTATCCTGGATTGTAAATGGTCGCCCAGTCTTGCCTCCCATTCAGCACTTTGAAATAAATTGTCAAAATAGTAGATCATTTGTGTCGATAAGGGGTCCATGATAAAGTAATAATAATATCAGTATTTCCTGCAAAGGAGCTTTGGAGTTATCACTTACAGACTAGTTCCTTCTTTGAAGCAATGTGCAGCCGTTATGACCCACCGTTTGTTGATCAGAGACGCTCCACACACATGTTTTCCAGAACGGTGGAGGGATACCATCCACGGTACAGTACCATAGTCCACCTGTTCACCTCCCACAATACACATTAATGGCCTCGGGGGACAAAATGGCGCACTTCTTCCACACTGGTCTTCATTCAGTTTCTTATTTCCTGTTAGAATAATTTAATATTATCTTAACACTCACAATAGTTGAACCCAGTGGCGTAACCAGGATTTTCATAGCAGGCACACGAGGCTGAATGCCGAGCAAAACTAGGGGTCTGGGGCATGACTCTTGGAAATGTAGCATATTGACACCATAGGTTAAAGCTGACTAGTTCATTTAAAGGGAGGGTATACATTTAGCACATTTCACACTGCATAGGCAAAATGCTTGAAATATTTATAATCATTTTACATTTTAGCCCTTTTGCTGCTTAGTTCATAAGTGAACCACTGTGTACGTAAAAGACAAATGTGAAAGTGTACATTCGCTGTTTTAATTGTCTCTACCAAATTTTTTATAAAAACTCTCTCTACCATAATTAAATAATATGATAATTAAAAACATTTAAACAGTTAAAACTGACACAAGCTTAAGGTATATGAAATGATTACTGATTTAAAAGGGTTTATCGCTGGGGGAAATGATGCACCTACTACATCTTCTTTTATTGGTGCAATTGGCACTCCCATATGGTCCACACATGCACCTGTTACATCCATCCTCTGCTCTCATGACTATAGAGCCACTCTTCATCGCAGTATTACATACGTCTTGAATAAACCAGAATAAGAATATGATGACATCATCAATGAAATGGAGCGTGTCCAACTGATAGCTTAAATGAGTCACGTGTCATCTGATCACTTTGATCCATTTACAAATACATGTTCACATCCAAAACACTGTTTCAACAACCAAAAGTTCTTTTTATTCATTGACAAGTGTTTTCTTTCATACAAATACACCTACAGCTATATTAATCAATGCTATACTAGAAAGTAAATTACTATTGACAACTCCATGATTGAATTATATGAACAATAAGTACAACATTTGAAAAACCAATAAAAATATCTTCATTGGTTGACTCTTTCTACTTTCATATTGATTTGGTTGACATGTCCTGGTTCATATTGTTACTTACATTTTGATGGGCAGCATATTTCACTTTTATTTGTTCCATTCACCATTTCTGTCAAACATACATTATCACTCGGGCATCCCTCTGAACAGTTCACAAGTGTACTGCTTGATGGATCGGCCACTCTCAAAGGTTTCAAACAGTGTAACTCTCGTTGACAACATCTCCCAATCTTTCTCATGCATTTGTAGCCATTACTGCAGTGTTTGCTGGAGGTGCATGTGATCTGCGTTCCATTGACAACAAGCATTGGTTTGTCAAGAGGGCAGGACACTGAATGTGTTTATAAGAATGAGAAATCATATGTTAATCAACATCGATTAACCTGAAACTACATTTATGAAAATACTATAAAATCAATTGGCTAATGATAAAGTTATTGTATTAAAACATCCATGCACAAGGTGACACAAAGATGCAATGTACTCAATGAATAAATTTCACAATGATGGAATCTTTTTGAATGTTTCTGATGAGACATACTTTAACCATAAATGTATGTTTAACCATAAATAGCATTGACAATTTTGCAATTTGGAGATTTTCTGTACTTGGGATTTCTGTTTTAGCCACTTTTGGATCATTTCTTGACTGTTTTCATCGTCTCATCTGGTTTTATGGTTTCTGATTTTTGCACGCACTTAACTATTAATGAGAGAAATACAAAAAAATCTTGATTACCTTTACTAAAACTGGTAACTGGCGGGACTGATGGGACTGCTAAAAAGATATGAGACTTGAATTCAAGAATTGTTTTACTATTTGATGGTTTCATGGTTTTCATCATAACTGTAAAAGGAGCCGTTGTTTTGAAAATTAAAATTCTATCACCCACAACTTCCTTAAAGCTGTGAGAATTGGGCTCATCTGTTTCCACTATCTCAAATGTTGTTTGTTGTAAATATTCCTTCTCTGTTGATAGATTCTTGTTATAAGCTTCAAAATATGTTCTATCGTCTACAGATGAGTTAGACCATCTGAGGAACATATCATTATGTTGGGCTGATTTTATAGATATTGTTCCGAGTTTTCCAGTGTTTCCAGGTGATCTTAAATAGAAGAAGTCAACAGGATTCAATGCCATTTTTGCCATATATCTGGATTCTTGGTTTGGGTCTTTCACAAGATGTATACAGAAATATCTTGATCCTTTAGCAGGGTCCAATTTAACGTAATCAAAAATTGTGATGTCCAAAAGGCTCGTGGTACAGAGACTAACTTCTGAAAAGAAAATCAAAAGCATTATACATGTATTTTGCTAAACATGTTAAAAGTTTGACAAAGACAACAGATGAACTGAAAATGAACTTTAAAAAAAAAATCCTTTTTGCTCTAATTATCATTCCATCTCATGCCTTTTTTCTAAATCCAATAGATCCGACTTTACATTGATTTTACAGATTATCTTGCAGAAATCAAAGGCTGAACTCCACCTTTTTATTTCTCATATGTTGTTTGTGTTAATATTCCTTCTCTGTTGATATATTCTTGTTGTAAGCTTCAAAATAAGTTATATTTATTATGATTCTGCATTTCCAATAACTTTTGTCAGATATCTCAATTCTTTTTCCAAAAATAAAATTAAGACTATGAGAAACATTGTCATGCTTTTAGAAGATTCCTTCATCATTATTCACTCTCTAGACTTTGATACCCTTTAGGATAAGAAAAGCATCGAAAGTGAATTCAAATCAATTGATATTGAGTTTTCATAAGTTTAATATGCTGGCAGATCCTTATCAAAAATATAGATAGGCCTAACTAATAAGATTTGGCATATTGATTAACGATCAATTAACAAATCAAAATGTATAAACTTATGTATTAATTAATTGTAGCATACTTACTTCTGCTATGTACCGAGTCTGGAAAATGAAATACAAATGTTATCCATATTGAACTAGGTATATGCAATACTGAAATGAGAAACTTTAAAAGGTATGGAACATCCATATTGAGATTGATGACCCCAAAGATAGCTTCATGTATGTGATAAATGTATGTTCAAACAAATTGTTTTACAAATTAAAAACATCAATTAGTTCAATTAAGCCAATAAAGTATGAATACTATAGATTAATAATAACAAGTATGTAAATATTCAGATTTCTCATTAAGTTGCCGGATATGCATCAATGATTCTTTAGTTGAAATGGATAAACCTATGATCTTCTATTGCACTTTTATTTTAGTGTGCTATACTGTATATTGAAGATGCATTAAAGGATACACACCTGGTTGAGCCTAACTTTGTTTACAATTACAGCATTCCTTGTCATGGCTTTTTTTAAAAGGTACCAACTTTATTTCATGATAATGGTCCAATTTGTAAACTTAGTTAGCAATAGTTTTGAATGTGGATATTTCCTTTTCAATTCTAATGAATTTGGACATTTCAGCATTTTTCAATAACCTCCATTTTTTGATCAGATATTCCTAGTTTATATCCCCCTACTTCTACTTAATTTGGCACTACTTATTTTGGCGAATTTGCTGTTTTGAACATTTGGTGGCTACTTCATTGGGGGACTTCCAATATTACACTGTACTTATGGTACTAATTTAAATGGCACTAAAATTACCAAGGAATTGACAATTTGGCAGATCTTTCAAATTAAAAGAACCATCAAATTAAGTAAAAATACAGTATTTCCTCTTTATCACATGGTGGAAATACTAAAATTGAGCAAATGCGACAACAGTCCATAATCTATGAAATAGGTGGATATTATCTATGAAATAGGTGGCTTTTGTAATTTGGACCTTGGAGATTTTTGACCTTCTCATGTTATATACAATCAGGAGAACTTGTAACATCCAGTTATTGAAAATCTAAGCAGTTACGAGCAACTATATCCATCAGCTCCAATAATTGAGTGAGAATTCCTCACTTCAGCAACCAGGATGTTATCTGGTGATGTGATGGCCTATTATTACCACCTTGCCGGGCCAGTCCTAGTGCTAGTTTAGAAGGCGTTCATTTTACTATATTGTAACGGAATTTTAAATGTAAAATTTTTGATTTTTGATTAAGTGCTGTGTTTTTGTATATAAGGTAATTATTACACTTGAGAAGTAATTTCCCATTGAGATTATTAAGATTTATAAATGTAGTATCATTTGCAGCACTTAGGTTGTACTTACAGAGGTGAAATAGTTCACATGTTTTATTTATTTGATCACGATTTTGTTTATGTTGATCGGGCAGTCTTATCTGGTAGTCTAATTTGTAGTTGATCGGTAGTCTAACATGACAGCTTTATTATTTTACTTCCTGCTTTTGATTCGATGGAATCGAAGGAAAATTAGACTAGATAGTGATTAATTACTGTTATATTTCTTGAGTCAATATTATAATCTTGCTGTATGATCAATATTGAAGCGAAATATGGCGTAAGTAAGCTGTAATTCACAGTTGAAATCTTGTCCGAAAATTAATGACGTCATCGGGCCTATATAAGTATCTCGCTGTTGAAGGCTCGTTAGTGCGATGCCAGATGTTGTCGAGGAAGGACCTCCAGAGCGGAATTTCGGGAAACAGCTAAAATCTTCTAAGTTTTATAGAACTTAGTTGATTTTGTGGTCTTGAAGCTATACGTTTGCAGTATACACATGAAGATAGAAGCTGTACCTTAGTAGAATATATCTGATGAGCCAAGCTATACGTTTGCAGTATACAAGGGCAGATTGAGGAAACTAAGTGTGCGAAACTTAGTTTATTTTGGAACTTGGATTTTTGGGAAACTTTGATGTAGCTAAGTGAGAGGAACTTAGTTTATTTACCGCACTGGAAGTAAGGGAGATCTACAAGACTGGACAAAACTTCGACAGGGTGAAGCTATCCCCAGCGCAAAGCATTAGACGTATTGTCCAGCCTTCATAGACTGAGAGGAAATGCTGACATAACTTGTGTTTGAGAAACAAGCTATTTTGATCATCAAGGAACTTAGACGATTTACAACATTATTGGACTTAGTCAGTATTTGGTGAAACATTATTTTGGACTTTGTTATTTTTGGAGATAGAAATATTTAACTTAGAATATTTTAATATCAGTATCACTTAACATTAAATGAACTTAGTCATTTTAGAGGTCAAATATTTTCACATGTTATATTTTTGCATATGTCGTTGTGTGCATGCTATATTTGTAGGTAGCCTTATTATTTAATTGTGAAGAAAGCAGGCTACATGGACTCAGCAGTTGATGCCGTGTATTAGACGTCCTTGGACTTGGTGGTTTGAAGATTGTGATAGTTTGACTTATACATCTACAGAGAAGAGGTTCCAGGACTTAGCAGTTTATTCAACGAGATATTTTGACTTTGATGATTTTGTGTCATTGAAGTTAGAATATACATCTATAGAGAGGACGTTCCAGGACTTAGCAGATTATCCAGCGAGATATTTTGACTTTGATGATTTTGTGTCATTGAAGGTAGAATATACATCTACAACACAGAGAGGAGGATCCAGGAGATAACCATTTACAGAGTTGATAGTTTGACTTAGATTATTTCACATAATCAAAGTTGAATTATACTACAACACATTGAGGAGGATCCAGGACTTAGGAGTTAACACAACTGATAGTTTGACTTAGATTATTTCACATAATCAAAGTTGAATTATACTACAACACATTGAGGAGGATCCAGGACTTAGGAGTTTACACAACTGATAGTTTGACTTAGATTATTTCACATAATCAAAGTTGAATTATAATACAACACAGTGAAGAGGATCCAGGAGATAGCCATTTACCGAGCCGATAGTTGACTTGATGATTTCACATTATCAAAGCTGAATTATACTACAATACAGTGAAGAGGATCCAGGAGATTTACGTTTACGGAGCGATAGTTGACTTAGATGATTTCACATCATCAAATTTGAATCATACTACACTACATAGTGGAGGATCCAGGAGATTACTATTTCAGGTTCAAGTTACAAGTACAATACAAGACGTACAAGTATTACAACATATATGAACTTTTAATATTGGAGATACAACAGTGGTATATAGTGATCATCTACTTTAGTTTATATGGACTCTGGATATTGTGTTCTTAGTGATTATTATTAGCTTATATGGACTTTTGAGTTGTGAGTTTTGAGAGAGATAATAATATCGTAGCATTTTAACCTTCATACTTGACATTTAATGTACATCTTTATTTGGGCTTATAAACGCCACAATATACTGTTTTATATTTATATTTAATTGTATATGTCTGTTTAATTCTTTAGGGACAATCGCACATTTAACGTGTGCCGTGTAACTCACCAAGTAAACACCGTTTACTAAACAGTGGGTCTATTATAAGTCACGCTACCACATATCCACAAAAATAGGCCAAACTGTTACATTGGTGGCAGCGGTGTTGGGATTGACTGTTTCTGAAGACTTGAACCAGAGGCACATTATAGCACTTTAAAGATGGATACAGAAGCTCCAAAGTCGATAGAGAGTGGTGATCTCTCGGATACAAATACAGACAAGTCTAAAGATGTAGAGAAGACTGTCTTTGTAAAGTTAGCTACCGATGGTGAGATAGATAATCCTATAGCCAAGGATGACACTCTTCAATATACAGGAAGAAAGGCTACGGAACATATGGCTACAGTACTCCCAGCGATGGAGAAATGGAGGTTGCCAAGTGAGGCAGATCTAGATGAGAGACACCCTACAGTTGGGGGTGCAGAAGCAATCTACCCTAGTGATAAGACTGGGATAGAAACTGAGTTTAAGAAAGCCTGGAGTGGACAGACTACTGGCTATTGGTCAGGCGCAATACATAATGGTGTTTATAGTCCACAGAGTCAAGCATGGGGAGCCAGACCCAAAGGAGATAGATATATGCCTCGCACCTCAACCATGATAACTACACCTGCAGAACTTAGAGTGGACATGCAGGAAAAACCAGCTGACAGAGAAATAAAAACTCATATCCATGTTATGGAAGATACCATAAACCAAAATGTGACTACCATAAACATGATGGAGGGACACATGTCTCATATTGAAGGACAGGTGGCTAACATGGAAGGACACATGTCTAACATGGGAAGCCAGGTCAATAACATTGGTGGAGAAGTCACACAGATCAAAGATCATATTGGAACTTTGTCACAAACTTTGAAGGCGGAATTTAAGGAAGAGATGAATAACTTATGCCAGACCTTACATATGGCATTACAAAGTTCAACTTCTCGTCCTGAACCAGTTTTACAGGGTGACGTCAGACCTTCAAGTCCTGTAGTGAAATTAGGAACAAGTGTAGACACCAGAACAATGTTACAGGCTAAGTCCAGTGCGACTTCTCAGAGATTACAGTCTCGAGAAGTTCTTTCTACATTTAATCCGCAGCAAGGAGTGGTAGGGGGGCCCACATTAGTTAATCCAGAATTAACTGCTGATCAACCCAGAATAGTAACTCCCCCAAAGTGGCCACTCAGACGCCAGAAGAGAATTGCTTCTGATGAAGATTTTCCAGGACTGCCAAAGAGACCTGCATTTAAGAGTCCTCCGACAAAAAGGAGAGTTGCAGCTGTAAAGTCAGAAGATGACTATGGATTCGGAGAGACAAAGTTTGTGGGAACACCGAGTAAAAGAATGTTTGTGCCTCAACAGACTCAAAGTCAGCCTTCCAAGGATAGATACCGATCTACATATGATGAATTACCGAATGAGGCTGAAACCAGATATGAAGAAGCTCTGCAGACTAATGCAAATATGACACATTTTACTCCTCAAGAAGAGGAAACGGCCGTACCAATGAATGATACAATGCCTTCAGTGATAGCTCAGTTTGCAAAGATGCATGAAGAGACGACTAAATTAGTTGGGAAGGTATTGGAAGAGACAATACCTAAGAGAGCTGCCTCTCAGAGCAAGACAAAGATAAAACCTGACACATACAATGGAACTACACCATGGATTGACTACAAAGCCTATTTTGCCATGTGTGTAAGTGCAAATTCATGGAGCGATGAAGAGAAGAAACAGTTTCTTGCAACTAGCCTTAGGGGTCAAGCGCAACAACTCATCTATGAGATGGACCCTGGCTATACGTATGATGAATTGGTGTCTGCCTTAGATAAAAGGTTTGGCCCAGGAGGTAAAGCAGATGTGTACCAAGCAGAGTGGGTGGGCCGAACACGTAAACCCAAGGAAACACTACAGACTCTTGGTCAAGATGTCAGACGGCTGACATCATTAGCATATCCTGAGTTACCTCGGGCTGCTCAAGATCGTTTGGCTAGGGAACGTTTT